TTAACTCCACAGGCATCCAGGGATGCAATTTCATTGGCCACCTGACTCGAAACTAACGTCCGTGCCAAATCTTGCCTACCCGCTTGCGTCTGACGCGCAGGGATCGTTAGACATTTCGGTGTACTCGCTGTCCGAAGCTGTCTTGGGGGCGACAGCCGGGCGGGCACTGGGAAAACATCTGCTACACCGGAGGTGGGCTGTAGAAAGAGGAATGTCTTTACAGATGCGATATTCGGCTTGGTTCTTTCCAAAAGGCCAGCCGCATCGCGTGCGCCACCTACGGGGGTGGATGTTCAGTTTATAAATGAGTGTCGCGTGATATCTGCCACCTTTGGCGGTGTTCAAAATTGTGACCCCGGGCAGATTATCGTCCGGTACACTGAGGTGTACCGACGCTTCACAGTCCTCCAACATGTCTAATGCTGGTGGCACGAAGGTTGCTTTGCAATCCTTAATACGCTGTTGGAGGTCAGCCAACTCCTCTTGAGCCTTTCTGACAGACATGGCGGCAGTTGACTCTAAGGCAAGTCGGTCCAGCTGGGCAACGGGAGCGTCTTGGATGTAATGAAGAAATACATCGGACCCCCATCTTCCAAACAGTTGGATTCGCCAGAGTTCAATGTTGTGGGTCGCCATAAAACGTGCGCCTGAAACTCGGGCGCTGTGGCCTGTAAAGGCTCGTGCCCCGTTGGCGTGTGTGATTGGCAAAAGGAGTTGTTTGGCTATGGCTTCGAAGGTGTCGGCCCATCCTTTCTTAGTGGATTCCAGGCCGTCTTCTGCGGGAAAGAGGAGTTGTTCAGGATCCTCTGGCAAGTCGTTCAACCGACCCAGCAGCAGATGGTATGGGCAAAGCTCTCTTGAGTGTACCGCACACGAGCATGTATGCGATCGCGTTGCACCAAGTGCTGCTTGGTCTGTTTTTGAGCTTGGGAGTCGCCATGAGGCCTTGAGTGTGACTTCCTCGATGGTCACGTGTTTGCGACGTGCCCGAGATGCTTCGATCTCCCGCAGCAACCACCACGAGGCGAGTAAGGTTGCAGTTGTCGGGTGTGTTGGGCCGCCTGGAACTAAAGCTCTTTCACCCTTCAACTCAGCCACCTGCTCCATGGGAAGGTGAGCGGCCTGTTTTGGGTTGCCGATGCCTCGCTTGCAACTGCGTACGGCTGACCGGTAGGCTTGTTGAAGCTGGCAGTCCCACGGCAGTCCGAGAGCAATGTGACAGTTCTTGGCAGTGTCCAAATAGAGCTGAGCCGATCTGTACCCTCCCGCTTTCAAGGCCCCCATGATGGTGTAGATCATGGTTGAGTCCAGGTGGAACGGGTCAGACCAACCGGCGGTCGTGGCCAAGGATGCCCACAGTTTCTGCCTTGAGGCTGTAGGCCCTTTGGTTGACTCGGCCATGATGTCTTTGGCTAGCTCCATTCTACAAGCCTCCGGGTCTTGTGCCGCGGCTATGGCTGCCTCCGCCGACCCTCTGCCGTATGGCTTGGGTTCTCCCGAACCCCTGTCCCGTGGTCCGCCGCCGGGTGTGCACGGGGCTGTGACCGATGCCGCGGAGGCCGGTCTCTCCACGATGGATAGGGTCGGTGGGGTTATGGCAAAGCCCTCATGTAAGAGCGTGGCTCTATGGCGTACCGGCAATGGCGCGCCCGGGTGCGATGCCAACGACCGCTTGAACGGCATGCTGCAGCGCCGCGTAAGCGGTTATGATCGATCTCTCCCGATTCGAATCACCGAAGGCTCAGGGTGAGTGTCCGTACGATTCCGACAGACTTCCCCTCCACCCGCCCGGTGAGTCCGCACTCGCCCCCTCCCCCATTTTCCCTCAGGTCTAAGTTCGCGTCGGCCACTTCGTGCCGGCTCACAAGTCTACCTTCCAGAAGCTGGGCCCAATGCTCACGTGCGTGCGAGCAACGGACCTCAGGTGTTCTGGAAACTTCGGGGCGACCGGCGCCGTCTGCCTGGACAGAGCGTCTGCCTCTAAATTCCTGGAGAACCCAACCTGGGGTTCGGGCGTAAACTTTACACCCAAAGGCAAAATTAACACCCTGGGGCGTTTCTTGTCCACAAGAAACACCCTTGAGCGTTTCCTCACCAGAAAAAACACCCTTGGCCGTTTCTTCCCTACAAGAAACAACCCTAGGGCGTTGCCAACTATAAGACCAGAAACACACTGGCCTATTTTTCACGACCATGGTACGCAATGCAGTGTCGCCATGTTTGCATGCGTGATTCAAAGTATAGTGCGAAGCGTGCAAAAACTACATTCACCCGTTTCGTTCTTCTCGTGCTCTTGTCATCCTGCAAGATGCTGTATATATATAACCATGCCAAGAATCTTGAGCCTTCACTATACAGATGTATATATATTACACACACATATATATATATATTCCAAAAAACACGTGTGGTTCATATGGGACTGGTGACAAAGACACGTGCACACACACTTTTCATGTAAAACCAAAAGGAAAAAACACACACACACACACACACTCAGGCGTCCAGGTATGCAAACTGTAAGCACCTTTTCTTTCATATCGCGCCATTGCAGCGATCGTTTGAGGACGTAACGCTTTGCCCAAGTGCATTGGTAGCTGCTACCGTGGCAACTCTGCGCAACTGCCCGAATCTTTCCCATAAAATCTTCGTCTCCAAAGGTAGCCAAGTGCATGAGGCATATGCCATTGGCAGCATACACATCCATCATGTGTTGGAAGTAGTGTGTCTTCGGGCGGATGTAGTACAACAATCGCCTCTGCCGCGCACACATGACAGCCAGCAACTGGTAAGCCGCACTGTGGAGGGTTGAGATATGCAAGATCCTGGCCTGGGACTTCAAACAGCTTGAATCTGGTGTGTGGAACTTTGTGGACCACACTGGTCACTTTTATGCTCCAGGCTCTGAGAGGGATCGACTGGCAGGGACCACCATGCCACTGCGTGGAGCAGCTTGCCACGTGTTCATGGTTTTGCAGTTGCGGTTAACCGGTGAAGAACCATGCAATTTTTTGTCGTGTTTTGAATTTGATACAAGTAAAGCAGGAATGCGTCATTGTGTTGAGTTTGATGCAAGTGAGGCATTCGCTTATTGGAAGGGTGATATGGAGGCTCATGTTTTCTCGCATTTCTTAGAACAAGGTGGCCGTTATTACAAATGCCTTCAATGCTGCGACTTTTGCCTTGCCACCACCGACAAACGGGCGCCAGAGCTGACCTGGGGTGATTTGAGTTTGCGTGCGTTGTGGCGGCAGACGATGACTATGCGCCACCCTTCAGACCCATCGCCGTGGACTGCAGTTCCCAGATTTGAAAAAGCCAAGAGGCTCATCGATTTGCTCCATATAGTGCACTTGGGGACGCTCCGCGATATCGTTGCGTCGGTGATTTGTGATTCCTTAGAAGACGGATCACTTGCTCATTTTTACGGGCTGGAAAGCCACACCGAGATATTGGATATGTTCAGCCGCCACGCTGAAAAGTGGTCCCGGGGCCATGGAATGCAACTCTACATAGGAAAGCTAACGAGAGCGCGCTTGGGCAGACCTCTCCAGCAGCATTGGCCATTCCCATGCTTGGATAGCCGCATCAAAGCGGCGAAGACAAGAACTCTTTTTGGGTTCTGTACATTTGTCATGTGCAGGGTGGCTTCAACCTCGGAATCGTGGGCAAGTTCGCAACAGAAGAAAATTCAGGCCAATGTGAGAGCAACATGTTGTTGGGCCCTTGACGTCGTGCTGAGCACTTTCAGTCAAAACAACTCTATAGTGATGCCTCCAGCAATTGTTGCAGTTGTAGCCTGTGTCACACTCGGGGTTCCGATGCAAGCAATACACTGCCGAGTTGTCCATGAATCTGCCCTTCTGCAACCTGTGGACCAGCTCCAAATTGTTGCAGTCGAGCCAGAGAAGTGTGGGACAGCATCTTCGTGAATGATAATCGGCACATGAGAATCAGCAACATCCGGGCAGCCGGACGCATGCCACAGCTGAGAAATGTCCTTGCGGGATCCCAAGCACTCATCAACGACCTCAAGCAGCGATCATGGAAAAGGAACCGCTAGTTTTAAACCCAAGTTTGGACACATAGAAAAACAAAACTGAAAAAGTCTGAGCGGAAGCCAAGGCAGGAAGCATCTGGACCATGTGAGTGCAGTGCCTGCAGCAAATCACTTGGGAGGACCAAATGTATCTCTTTGTTGATCAGGTTGCCCATGGAATCCAGCATTGGAATCTTGGCCTTGTAAATGCGTATGGGGAGCTTCAGCCACCGGAAGAAATCACGTTCCCGGGCAAATGCCATTTGGCGTGCGCTCACCTGATGGGAGCAAAAGCAAGTTCTGTATGAACATGTATGAACTATTGGTCAAGCAAAAAAGGAGTGCAGCAAAACTATTTTGGCAGAAGCGGACCTTTGCACAGCCATCGCCCACAAACATTTCTGAACAACGCGCAGCTTGCTTCACAGAAAGCTTTCCAGCTGCCACCCGCTCTGCCACTCCACGGACCCCGGCACTGTCAATCTCATCGATTGACCTGCGTGACTTCCATCGAGCGACAAAAAGTGAATA